CCCCCCCCCCTCTCCAGATACCCTTGAATATATATCAGTCTCTCTGTGAGAGATAAGATGCAAATCGTAGTGAATCATAGACTTATAGAAATAAAATAATCGATGTGTCATTGAAATTCAATTGTTCACGGACATTTAATATATTACGTACGTTAAATGAAAGATTGTCTCGAAAGTTGAATGGATATGTAGAATTTATTTTTATGAAAGTAGTATATAGTGCCTTTGTACATTGCCTTTTAGTTATTTTAGATTATTATTCATTTATGGGAAATCCAGAATACACACACGAAACAAAATATTTAACAGAGATTTAATTGGAATAGTTTTAATAATATTAGAACAACCAGATCGGAATCACCAAAATCGTCAATTCGTAAATATTTTTAATTCGTAAATATTTAAATAATTTTAAATATTTTTCTATCCCTTTCATTTTAATTTCTTCGGCAACTCCAGCGTCACACGAGATGGAACATTACAGCTCCGAACAAACTAACTGTCCATTGCTAGGAAACGCAGCAACAGTTCCATTCGGATTTATTCAATTTCCGATTTTATCGCGTGCAATGGAATGCACAGTGCGCGTGATTCGTCGAAATTTCGCTACAGTGAGTGTGAGCTACCAAATAAATAAATTCGTCAAAGATGAGACTGGTCGGGGTGGGGAGGGATCGGGGAGAGAAAGAGAAGGGAGGTTGTTCGGAATGACCGGTGACGGAGATTGTCGCTCACGAAGGGACTCCGTCTGGTATGTTCGATTGCCGTCTCGCCAGGAAATCGAGCGAGGCGAACACGAAGAAGGTGGGGCGACCGTGTTCGCGACGAACGGAAGTCGGCCGCCAAGGTAGCAACGGACTCTATTCCCGATTCCTGAAAGCTCGAGGGTGCCGCAAACACGACTTTATTGATTTGCCGCATTAAAGGGAAGCAGCCACGGTTCACGCGCACGGTCACGTGGCCTCGCCAAATGTTTCCCTCTGTCGTTCCCCTAATTCTTCTTCTTCGTTCTCACTTCGTTCCCAATCTTTCACGCTGTGCCTCAAAATTGGTAACTTTTTTGCCAAGACAGATGTTTATTACGATTAGATCGGCGAAATTTAAAACCAGCTTTAAATAAAATATAAATGTTTTTCTCTATCATTCCCTAGCTCTTCTCTGATCTTTTACGCTGTGCTCCAAAATTAGTAATTTTTTTGCCAAGACAGATGTTTATTACGATTAGAAATTTAAAACCAGCTTTAAATAAAATATAAATGTTTTTCTATATCATTCCCTAATTCTTCTCCGTTCTCTCTTCGTTCCCGATTTTTCACGCTGTGCTCCAAAATTGGTAGTTTTTTTGCCAAGACAGATGTTTATTACG